GTCTTTTTTTTTAAACATTTGTTTATTTATTTAGTATGTGTGTGTATGTGTGTGTGTGTTTGTGTGGCCAGCTCAGCCCACCAGGGGGCGGGTCTGGCTGGCATGTGGTGCTGGGGATCGAACCGCGGTCCCTGTGCTTTGCCAAGCTTGTTTCAAGTCGGTGCTTTAGACCACTGAGCCATCTCTCCAGCCCAAAAAAAAATGTCTTTGTTATAAAAAAAAAAAGTAGAATAAGCACTTGCCTGGCAAGCTCAGGGTCCTGAGCTCAATCCTCAGTACTGCAAAATAAATAAATAAATAAATAAAGCGTCTGTGGTGCAGCACCACACTTGCTTAGCACATAGGAAGCCCTGGGTTCGATCCCTAGCATCACAAAAAATAGGAATATAATATAATCCTAGAATCACAGACTGTGTCCAAGAATCACACCCCATCCCAGGACCTTGGAATCAGGGGTGCTTGTGGCAGGCTGGGGTAGAAGTAGTGCTCTGTGACTTCCAGGCATGTGCTGGGTCCCTGAGAAAGCTGCCCTCTAGAGGTTCCTTCTCCAGAAACCCACTCAGTACTAAGCCTGGCCACAAGGCTGTGTGTAGATGGTTGACAGTTGAGGCTCTGAACCCAGTCTTTACACTTAAAAAGCATTCAAATGAGCTAGGCATGGTGTCACACTCTGGTCATTCCAGCACTCTGGGAGGCTGAGGCAGGAGGATTACGAATATGAGCCTAGCCTTGGCAATTTAGCAAAATCCTTTCTAAGAAATAAAATAAAATAAAAATTTTAAAAAGGACTGCATTGCAGCTCAGTGGAAAGGCTCTGAACTCTACCCCCAGGCACGCGTGCACGCACACACGCACATGCACACACACACAGTTCATTGATCCTCTGTGCAGGTCACTTTATGTGTCAGTTTGACTGGACTAAAGAGTGCCCAGGTAGCCAGGAAAGTGCCATTTCTGGCTTTATCTTTGAGGGTGTTTCCAGAAGATATTAATGAAATCAGTTTACCAAGCACACACACACACACACAAAAAATAAAAACCAAAAAACCAAAAAAAAAAAAAAAACAACAACAAAAAAAACCCCTAAACCTTTACCAGTACAAGTGAGCACCAGCCAATGGGCCAAGGACCCGGACAGAGAAAAATGTGGTGCAAGGGTGAACTTACCGATTCTTCTGGGATGACCTCCTCCTCCTGCTGCTGGGGCTGCTGCTGCTGCTGCTGCTGCTGATCCTCCTCCTCT